GAGAATAGACAGACTGTTCCCTGTTTGTGAAGGACTGCTAGGAAAGTTTAAAATCACTGACTGTTCAAGGTTCTTTATTCGTCACATGCATAGTAATACAAGTACAGTGCAAATGTTTGGGCAACCTTGTTAATAGTCATTATTTTCCTGTATAAATTGTTGTTTGTTGCGATAAGAAAATTTCAGTTAAATATATCATTTAGGAGACACACAGTGATATTTGAGAAGTGAAATGAAATTTATTGGATTTACAGAAAATGTGCAATAATTGTTTAAACAAAATCAGGCAGGTGCATCAATCTGTTGTCATTTTATTGATTCCAAAACCTTCAGAACTAATTATTGGAACTGAAATTGGCTCGGTAACCTCAGTGACCCCTGACCTACATACACAGGTGAATCCAATAATGATTAAGAGTATTTAAGGGGGTCAAATGATAGTTTCCCTCCTCCTTTAATCTCCTCTGAAGAGTAGCAACACGGGGGTCTCAGAACAACTGTCAAATGACCTGAAGACAAAGATTGTTCAGCATCATGGTTTAGGGGAAGGACACAGAAAGCTGTCTCAGAGATGTAAGCCGTCTGTTCCCACAGTTAGGAACATATTGAGAACATGGAAGACCACAGGCTCAGTTCAAGTTAAGGCTCGAAGTGACAGACCAAGAAAAATCTCAGATAGACAGAAGCGACGGTGAGAACAGTCAGAGTCGACCCACAGACCTGCACCAAAGACCTGCAACATCATGTTGCAGCAGATGGAGTCGCTGTGCATCGTTCAACCATTCGGCGCACTTTACACAAGGAGATGCTGCATGTGAGAGTGATGCAGAGGAAGCCTTTGCTCTGCCCACAGCACAAACAGAGTCGCTAAAGCACATTTGGACAAACCAGCTTCATTCTGGAATAAGCTGCTGTGGACTGATGAAAATAAAACTGAGTTATTTGGGCATAACAAGGGGCGTAATGCATCGAGGAAAAAGAACACAGCAGTCCAAGAAAAACAACTGCTCCCTCCAGTAAAATATGGTGCTGGTTCCATCATGCTGTGGGGCTGTGTGGCCAGTGCAGGGACTGGGAATCCTGTCAGAGTTGAGGGACACATGGATTCCACTCAGTATCAGCAGATTCTGGAGAATCAGTGACAAAGCTGAAGCTGCGCCGGGGCTGGATCTTTCAACAAGACAACAACCCGAAACACTGCTGAAAATCTACTAAAGCTTTCATGCAGAGGAACAAGAACAACGTTCTGGAACGTTCATCTCAGCTCAGACCTGAATATTAATGAAAATCTGTGGTGTGAGTTAAAGAGAGCTGTCCATGCTCAGAAGCCATCAAACCTGAATGAACTAGAGATGTTTTGTAAAGAGGAATCGTCCAAAATACCTTCAACCACAATCCAGACTCTCACTGGAACCTACAGGAAGCGTTTAGAGGCTGGAATTTCTGCAAAAGGCAGATCTACTAAATATTGATTTCATTTCTTTTTTTGTTGATTTTGTTTAAACAATTATTGCACACTTTCTGTAAATCCAATAAACTTCATTTCACTTCTCAAATATCACTGTGTGTGTCTCCTATATGAGTGTTATGGCAAAGGCTGCATTACTTTTTAATTGTAATACATTTTCAAAAATTTCAAGCCAACATTTTTCACTGTGTCATTATTTAGTAGAATTTTAGGTGAAAGAATAATTGGATCCATGTTAAGGCTGTAACGTGACAGCATGTGGAACGAGTGAAGCGCTACGAATACTTTCCAGATGCACGGTACAATAAAAACCATAAAATACTAATTAAACACTTTGAATCAACTTCTGTCTTATGACTGATTCATTTCCCGTTAAATATTGACTAATGACTGTTTGTCTCCAATTCATTTCATCTTTATATACAATTGACTGTGATTCTTAAATGCAGCTGAACGTCTTTAGCCTCAGGTTTATTTTTGGACTTACATGCCTCTGTACACTGCTGGTGTACAGAGGCATGTTTTTGATGCTTATACTGTAATCTCCAAATTAAATACACTGTAGAGGATAGTGTCTACTAGAACATGTGCAAAGCTAACAAAATTCACCCCCCATTTTATTAACTACCAGCGTTTGTTAATAATGTTCAACCATATAATTAGTGTTGTTATAGACTGTTATGTGCTGGACCCCCAGCACTGAGTCAACGACGAAACAAGTTCCAAAGAAAGTTCATCTTCATTCACTGCAAACTACAAACCAAAAGTCTGAAAAAGATTTTCTCTTTAATGTTGTTTGTTTCATTGTTGGCCTTTCACGCCGTGTTACATAAGATATTATGAAGCCAACGATTATTCTTATTATTTATAAAAAACATCTGCTGTTTTTTATAATCAGCAGTGCTCTCCACTGTGCAAGTATAACAACAACAACAACCACAAACAACAACAAACAACAACAAACAACAATAATAATAATAATAATATACCAGTTGCAACTAAATCACTTTCTATCTTATGACTCACCAAATACTTGTTCCAATTCTCTAGAAGGATTATCTTCTAATACCCAATAGTTTTAGTGTTAATAAACCTACATCGATGGTTAAAGTACTAGTAGGTAAATAAGTAAAAAAGAACAGCACTAATCTAAATTTCATTCTCCTCTTCTTCTCTTTGCAGCGCAGACGTTCACTTTGGTGAGCAGTGACACGTGAGCAATGGCGGCCTGGACATCCTCACTGGCGTCCCATTGAGCTCAAATGTATCCAGCCTGCACAGAGCAATGCTTCCTGCATTTACAACGAAATCTGTTGGCACTAGTGTTACGTGCCAATACAGAGACGGAGACTGAGAGGATGATGATTCAGACTGACCGACACCTAGACGACCAGCCATCATATTCAAAGAGGCAGATATTCTGTATCTTTAGTGCTCATTAGATCTGCCGGCACATACTCTGTCCTTAAGCAAAACACATTCTGTGGAGATGTCAGCATATTCTAGGACTGTAAAATGGTTTAGTTTAAAAATTATGTGGTTTAACTACAAAATGCCTGAAGAAGCCCAGAAATTCATTGCTGTAGTGTTACAATAAAGCTTTGTTCAGCGTTCAAACAGCTGTGCAAAATGTGATTAAAAGCAAAGTGCAATTCCAACTCCAAAGTTAAAGTACAAGTTATTAAATGTTTAAAAGATCAATTTTATTTACATAGCACCAAATCACAACAGTCACCTCATGAACTGTATATAGGAAAGAAGGACCGTGTAATTGTGCAAGCACTTGGCGACAGCAGAAAGGAAAAACTCCGGTTTAACAGGAACAAACTTCCAGCAGAACCAGTATCAGGGAGGTGCAGCCATTTGCCATGGCTGGTTGTTGATGTGAGGAAGATGGGATAAAGAGAGCCAGAGATGATAATTATTACTAATGATTAAATGCAGAGAGGTGTATAAACACAGAGTGGAGAAAAAAACCTTCACTCTCCACTTTTCAGAAAGTTTAAGGAGTGTTGAAATACGGGAGCAAACCTGGTCTCAGTTTTTAATGTTTCACGCATCTAATTCAGTATATTGAAAACACTGCATTTCTCAGCTCAGATTTAATGTTTGATATGTTGCCTTTGTACTATTTTTTTTAATTGAATAAGGCTTTAAATAATCAAACAAGTCAAATTACTTTTTACACAGTGCCCCTGCTTTTTGGGAATGTGTTGTAAACAGGAAGGAGTTAACCAGCGAGCAGGTGACCAAACCCCAGATGAAAGGGAAAGGTTTGCCTTTTCCAGGCAGAATGTAGCCACTGCTCTGGTGTGAATACTTCTGAGTAGCCCTGAAAAGCCGAGTGGAGCCTGATGCTGACTGGAAAGGATTTAGACCTCGCAGGAGACGGATAGCGTCCAGTCACTTTTATGGACCGTGTAATTTAGTTAGCTTCATAAAATTTGGGTGGTTTACTGATAATGGCTTTGTAATCTGTGGCACATGAGCAATCCAAAGCATTTCCATGATCCAAAAGGCCCACATATAGCAGAGTAACAAACCATTCATCTTGTAAATGGAAATTATGACACGTGGCTCCTTCCTAACCTCAGGACAAATGGCCAGTCCTAACATAAAGTGTTTGTAAATGTCTTTGGAAATAGCTGGATAAATCCCTGTAATCTAGACTCAGACAGATGTGGTGTAAGGGGGTGATGGAGAAACCAGTGGACTGTTCTGTTTAGTCTGAGGTTAGCACTAACCCCATCAAGTATCTGAAGGGTGTACTCCTGAGTGAGGGGAAACTAAGCAGATTGGACTGGACATGCAGTTTAAGGGTTAAGCTTTTAATTTAATCATCAGTTTTGACATCAAGCACATCCATATATATAAATAGTTTATTTGGCTGAGTTCAGGTGACGTGATATTTTGCAGTTGCTCACTGTATTGTGCCTTTTCGTGTGCATTCGTGTTTCGGAGTGAGAGGCAGTGGAACATGGGACTGAAAGGAAGGAGGACCTGAAGTTGACAGAGATCCCTCCCATTTACCAACCCGGTCATGTTCAAATCTTCGCCTGTGCTTCAACCTTTGTAGTAGCCAGTTGGTCCAGACACTGTCTGAAACATAAACTCAGATTATTCACTTTAACCATTTTTTAAAGATTGTACTACTTATCTGGTAAAAGTGAAAAGAAAAAAAATCTGAAAACTTAATGTTTTCCTTCCATTTGTTATGCTACAGCCATGTGCTGCCACTGAGGCAGCGTGTTGTTTTTCTCCAAAACACCATGTAGGAATATTTCTGGGCAGGCAAGAATCTGAGCTAAACCATTGTACAGTCTCACTTTTATGTGTGACTTCTTTTGGATATAATGTAGCCTCATAAAACTGTGTTGTCAAATACATACACGTGTACAGAGCTTTTGATACCTTACTAAGTGCTAAAGTCATCCTAACATAACTATTAAAATAACAGTTATCTATAGTTCTGGTGGATGGGATATTAGCTGTTCCTGAGTTGCTAGAGATGAGTGTACAGCTGTATATATGAGCATCTGAGAAGCCTCATCACAGATGGCACAGCACCAAACGACACAGACGCAGTGCTTTACTTTAACCCCAAGTGGCCGCTAATCTTTAACCTGCTCGGATCTGGATCCTTTGGTTGATTTCAAACTGGAGGGATCCCACATCTTTTACACCTGCAAAATAACAGATTAGCCTTCATTTTAATATAAGTATATCCATATATTATATGAATATTAAGCTGTTTTTTTACTTTAACAAGGTGCCACATCATGCTGCTGTTTGTTTTTGTTTTTTTACAGATTAAGGTATAAAGTTAGGATTGTTTATGTTGAGCAGATGGTTTGAATACCCTGACGTGCTTGCAAAGCCTCACAGAATATGCGAATGAGTTGAATTTGAAGTCTACTTTCTCAGTTTGTGTCTCTCTTTGTTTTTCCTCACTTTGGTTTGTATCAGTTAGAAAATACACATAAAAAGGATTTAGTTTGACTCTGTCCTAGGTGGTGGAAACTCAGAAAACGGCACATGTACAAAGCAATAAATAGGTATTTGAAGCCCCAGGACATTTAAAAAATTAAGAGATAAATAAACTGTAAAAAAAAAAATTAAGATAAGATAGAAAACTTTATGTACACAGTGAAAAAAGAAGAGTGAATATTATAAGAAATTATTATCATTAATATTAGAGTCAATATGCAAAACATTCATTTCTCATCTGTTTTATATCGTGAAATAAATGTTGATGTTCTTAAAACATGCTTGTTTCACTTTTCTCTTTGAAGTGATGCTTTTCAGGGCGGATTCTTTCATCACAATTCTATTTTATTTAAATAGCACCAAATCACAACAACAGTCACCTCAAGGTGCTTTGTATCGTAAGGTAGACCCCACAATAATACAAAGAAAAACCCAACAATCATATGACCCCCTATGAGCAGCACTTTGGCAACAGTGGGAAGGAAAAACTCCCTTTTAACAGGAAGAAACCTCCAG